GTGGCAGCTGTAACCAGGGAGAGACTCTGAAGAGAAAACGAAGCACAAACAAATAGAGACACAGGCTCTTGGGTTGGCCACAGCACTTCTCTGTGAAAACCCTGGGTGATTTTATGCATCATTTTACCATCCTAAGATTAAAAACAAACCAACAAAACAATGGCTTGGCTTGGTCACCAGACAATCATTGTAAAATGAGGTGGTAGGACAGGTGGATGGGACCATGTCCTCACCACTGGTGAGATTGGAGCGCAGTGGAGGAAGGTATAGAAGTTTTAAAGACTAGATTAGGGGGTGAGAAGGAGAACCCAAGGGGCAGTCCAACTAAAGAGTCTTGTTTCGGGGCTGGCCCAGTGGTGCAGTGGTTAAGTGCACATGTTCTGCTTTGTCGGCCTGGGGTTTGCTGGTTCGGATCCCGGGTGCAGACATGGCACTGCTTGGCAAGCCATGCTGTGGCAGGTGTCCCACATATAAAGCAGAGGAAGATGGGCACGGATGTTAGCTCAGGACCAGCCTTCCTCAGCAAAAAGAGGAGGATTGGCAGCAGTTAGCTCTGGGCTAATCTTCCTCAAAAAAAAAAAAAGAGTCTTGTTTCAATTTTGTTCTTTGAGAGGGGAGGGTAAGGATGCACGTATTCCTAGGCAGATGGCAGGAACCAAGACAGATGGACTGAAGGACGGCAACAATAAAAACTAAATGGTAGCAAGTAGGGGGACACTCTATAACACCGACAGAGGACTGAGCCTTAAAACAAAAGCATGTCTTCCAATGGACATCCCTCTTTCGGGACTAATTCTGTCCTAAATTAATTTTCCACTAATAGAAATATTCACCCTCAAAAAACTAGGTTTGTTTTGACTTCCTTTGAATTCCAAAGCCAGGCAAAATGACCAAAACCAGCTACCTGAGGAACTACACACACCTCTGGGACATGGATACACACACATACACAACACAGCCTCTATCAGAGAGGTGACAGAGACGGGAAACAAATGGAGCAGCAGGTGGGGAAGGACGGAGAGGTGATATGTAGAAATAGGCCTTCTTGGTTAAAAGGGCTTTCAAAGTCCCAATTTCAGCTTTCATGAGGCCCAAATACTTGGTTTCCTGTCCCTAATTCCACAGACCTCTGTATCCCAGCATTGCACTCCCTCTTTTATTTGAGCTGGTCAGAGTATTTCTGGTGCACTATTTCCAAAAAGAAAGAAAAAAATCCTGTTTAGAAACCCTGTCATTATTTGTACACATCTTCTATATCAATAAAATTTATAATAGATTTTATGTACGTATGTATGTATTTTTTCCAGAGAGAGCTGGCTCTCTGGAACATTTACCAACACACCACTCCCTAAGGGTAAATAATTAATAGCTATATATACCATCCAATATACTCTTACTCAATAATGGCTTAGCTAGAGGGAACCCCAAACACCAGAATACTACTAAAATCAAAGTAAGTACAAGGAATAGAAGGGTTAGTATTACTTGCTCGGTATTTGCCCTTGAGGTCCAATAAGAAAAGCTTTTCGCATTTATCAATAAGAGAATTTCGTTCCCCAGGAATATATACAAAAGCAGCAACGGGGATTTTCCTAAGTGCCTGCCCACCACTCTCTTATGTCCCCTCCTCCCTACAGAACAGAGACGTTCACACTCAGGGTCTTAAGAAACTGTCCTCCAGAAACTGTCAGTCTGCAGCTGAGAAACAGGGTATCTTCTGCAATAAACACCTGTAACTATGAATTAACAACACAGTGTTTAAAAAAATAAAGAACAACAAATGTTTTAAAGAAATACTAAAATACTGAGAATTCCAGAAAAAGAGATACATCATGAACAGTCTGTGTTTGCAGAAAACATCTTACTTCATCTCCTCAGGTCAGAGGATGGCAGCCTGACCCCATTTCACCTTTTGGCTATGTTTTCGACTTTCTCTTCTACTTCCATCCCTGCTGAAATTGACTGGCTTACCTGACTTCAGAAACTTATGTCTGTATTATTTTTAAACAAATATACTTCTGGATTAAAAATGTCATACTCAATCTGTCTATAAATTTCTAATCTGCTAGACAAATCTCAACTTCTATTTCTCAATACATCACACAATTTATAAAAAGATTCTAAACACAATTTTAGATATCTCCCTCTTTATTCTTAACCCACATGTTAAGAAGTCTGCAGCTTTATCCCACTTTATAAAATTAGAAGGGTGACTAACTAACCATCAAGGAAAAAAACATCAAGAACGAACTAGTAATTTGAGTTGAGACCTCTAAAAATACTCACGTCAAGAACATTTAGAAACGCAACAACAACAAAAAACTGATAGAAAAGAAGTGATAGAAGACTTCATTTAACATAATATAAACCAGGATCACCACTGACGGGATAATTACACACCCGCCCTTGGGGCACAGGGCAATAGTCAAGGCTTTCTAGAATATGAGTGGCTCCATAATGCACAAGAACTGGACCCCTAATTGGGGATGAGTGGGGCTGGAAAGAACCTTGATTTTAGGATGTGTTTGGACCAGGCTAAAGAGATTATTCACAATTAAGAAAAAGCTAGAAAACAGAGCAAAGGGAGAGCCAGAGAAATGAAAATGTGTGCCATGACTGCAGCATCTATATGGAAGCGCAGCTCCAGAGGGCAGACCACCGATAGGTAAAAGAGTCAGGCAACACCCAAGGGGCCACTGGGGCACAAAGCAGTAAAGTGGGTGGAGGTGAAACAGGCTGCAGCCCTGGGAGCTGGGAGAAGAGCCAGAAACAGCTACTTGGAAAGACCGAAATACTCTAAGGTAAGTCACTCCCTTGTGCTACCCTAAGCAGTAGTCTACAGATTTTTTTTTACACTAAAACTACAATAAGAAATGAAAATTTACACTGTAACAGCACAAGCATGTGTATACACATATATACAACAAACAACAAACAGAAGTTTCTCTAAATAATACCTATCTTATTAAATGTAGTGCACTCTTATTTACATTTGTATTCTCTTCTTTCTCATGTAAAAAAACCTGCTGGGTTCACTCACTAAATTGATTTTAAAACCCTACGAGGTCGTGCCCTGCAGTTTGACAGACACTGTGCTGAAGCAGTCACTGGCTGACCTTGGGGACAGGTGGAAGTCAAGGGTCTCCTGAGATCATAGCTGGTCTTGAACACTTTTCCCTCTATTGATCAAATTTCTGATTTCCCTCACTTGCTTTGGAATAGGTTTCAAACCAGCCTGGTATTTAAGTCTTTCTTCAACCAGCTCCATCCACCTCTCCAATCTTAATCTTCCACAATGCCACTCAATAATCTGCATCCAAGTAAAACGGATCTCTCTCTCCCTGGGATTATTTCCTCCTCCACCTGTCCAGAATGCTCCGATCTTCTAAGGGTGGGCTAAAGAAACCCCTCCACACAGAACAAATTTCTCCTGCCTCCAGAACCGTGGGCACTTGACCTTTGCTGTCTATCTTCCATTCACACACAGCACCGCCATCTCCCATCTCAACCCATGGCCATACTCACAGAACCCAGTCATGCAGGATCAAAAAGAAACCACTTGATTATACTTTAAACGTTGACTGAACAAATGAAGATGCATCTCTGCGTAAAGAGAAAAGTGCCGACTGGGGACTACTGAGCCTGAAGACTGAGGAATCTCAGGTCAGGGGCCCAAACCACCAAGAGCCCCTCATCCAAAACCAGAAACTCGTGTTCTCTGCAGCAGATAGTGCACCTTCAGCCTTTGCAACAATGGTTATAACAAGCATTAGGAAAAGGATGCTGAATGTTTACTTTAATAAATGTTTAGAAATTCTTCCTTCAATGAAAAAAGTAGCAGAACTACAGATCAGCAATTTAGCAGTAATGTCATGTTCCCATATTTTAATTTCTCCTACTTAAAATCTAATCTACCAAATGTAATAAAGCTATCTAGAAGACAGATGGGCAGCACTTAGCAAAATGAACAGATGCCCCCAAGTTTCTCCACCCTGGGCTCGTCAGGATACAAGGCCTTGCCTTCCCTCAAGTCAGCCCCCTCTTCTGATTACCAAATACTTTGGGTTAAGTTATTTGTGTCTTGTTTCAAAAGCAAAATTTTCACATCATCTTTTAATAATGCATTTTCATTTGTCTCCCCCAATAAAATACTTAAAAGAATTTTCCTAGAACTAAGTCAGAAATATTAGCATCAAAGTATATTAAATCTATATGCAAATATACTTTAAATTGATCTTCTAATACCTTCCTCATTTGACAAATATTTATCAAGTAACTGCTACATACTCAAAACTGCACAAGGAACTCAATAGATCTTTAAGGTACTAAACTGAAAATCCACACTTCCAAAGCAAAGAAGATAACAGTCTAATAGCTGTTTCAAACTCATTAACTCAAATTGAAAATTATATAACTATGCTCATATTTTTGTACTACAAAGGATCAGTAAGCAGTAAAAAAGGAAATTCTAAAGATATTGTCATGGTAAAATAGTTCAAGTATACATTGTGGTGAATTGTCCAAAAAAACAAAGAAGAAAACTAAACATAAAAACCCTTAGGAAATTTGTCAATCTTTTAGTTTTAGGAATGTTGCTCAACTAGGAAGCAAATCAGGTCAGATATTAAACATCTGCATAAAATATATTTCTATTATAACATTAGCAAAGTAAGGGCCATTAACACCTTCTGATAATAAGTGATCCTTTCCTTTATATTTTATGTAAACAATATATACTGCTTATGCTCAAATTCCTATGAATACTTAAAATTTATCAAATATCCCCGCCATGCTCTATTTAAGCCTCTAAAACTATTTTCAGTTTGGCTGGCCCTGCCAAAGGTGAAATCATTCAAATGAGAAATACTTTTATTTATACAAGTTGACATTTTAAAACTGACAGTTACAAAACTGAAAAGTTAATGATTATCTCACTATTTTTATTATTCTAGTATATAATATTATAAACATATACTAAAATACTCTCAATGAAGTCTTACCTTAAATATGTGCCATATATGAAGAATAATGCCATCATTAGTCCATTTAAAATAAAAATTACAGCAACATAAAAGCAAGCAGGATCTCCCAATCCTTTAAAAATAAACAAAACATATGTTCTAACTATAAATTACTTTAAGTGTCTGGCAATTTATATTAAAATGTGCTCATTTTGAAAATGGTTGCCAGATATATTAAATGGTTGTCTTGGTTCCCATACAAACACATGACACTACTGAGGAACACAGATGAGAACAGGATGGTAGCTACATAGTTTTAAAACAGAGCTGCAAATTTGCAGACACTCCTCCTGGTGAGGTGTGGGATCATGCCCCAGCTTTTGAGTCTGGTTGGCTTGTGACTGCTTCAACAAAGGATGGCAGAAGCCATACTATGTGACTTCTGAGGCTAGGTCATAAGAGGCCATAAAAAGCCTGACCACCCTGAGGTACCATGCTATACAAAAGCCCAAGTTGCACAGTTAGGGCACATGTAGATGTCCCAGGTGACAGTCCCAGCTGAGCCCAGCCCAGGGGCCAGAATGTAAGTGTAGCAGCCTCTAGTTAATTCCAGTCTTCCCAGCCATTTGAGCCTAGTAGAGGCCCCTGACATCATGGAAACAAACCCAACCTTGCTATGCCCTGTCCAAATTCCTGACATGGAGAATCCACAAGCATAATAAAATGTTGTTGTTTATACCACAAGTTTGGGGTAAGTTTATTATGCCGCAACAGATAAAGACCAATATCATAGAAAGAAACTTGCCTTCACAGCTTTCAATTGGACTGAGTCCTTCCCCTCTGGTAACTGTCCAACATATCTTGGTTTGAATACCAATCAAGTCCATTATTTTGGTATAAATTCGGTACCAGCTGGCTAAGATTACCTATTGTTTAAAAAAAATAGAGACATCATAAGAAAAGCTATTATCGTCAACAGTTTCATTACTAGAATATTTTTGAGGCATTTCAATAATTATCAAATTCTCCCTTCCTGTACCATCCATTTGGCAACTTTTAAATCTAGTAAAATGAACCTCCCAATCCCCTACACAGATTCTCCACTGGTCAGTCTTCAACTGTTCACCTATGAGTAAGAACAAAATATAACAAGAAACATGCAAGATTTGTGTTTTTCAAAAGCTATAAAAGTCTACTAAGCTATATAAAAGAAGATTTGAACAAACAGAAAGATACTATGCCTTTTTTGAATAGATCTGATTTTTCAAGATGTAAAATCTCCCTAAAATTAATTCATATACATAAAATACTGCTAATCAAAATCCCAAGTGTCTATCTAGAACGGTTATCTAGAAGAATAACAAGGAGACAACTGAAGAGAATGTCCTCACAGATATTAAAATTTGTTATTGTAAATACTAAAATAAATAGGGTGATACGGACACAAGAATAGCCAGGCACATCAAAGTAACCATGGCGGAAGCTGTGGAGTGCCACCCAGATCCCCCTTCAGCGCTGAGGCACTCACTCCTCCAGCAGCGAGGAGGGTTGGCGGCAGACAGCTCTCAGCCAAGACCCTCTATGGGGACTACCTTCTGCTAAAGAGAACACATTCACTAAAGTTCATACCCCCTACCCAAGGGCAACTGCATGCAATGTCTGACTAGTCAATAGGGAGGAATACAAAGGCCAGGGGCCCTTGACTCAAAGTAGGACAACTGCAGGGTCATTCCAGCTCTAGAGCTTCCCATGGGACTGGCTGAGGCGTTTGCTGTGACTACATCAGAGCCCAACTCCTCCTCTTGCCCCGCCCTGCTTCCTTCATCCCTCTTCAGGTGTTTCCCCTAAGGGCACTCCCTAATACACTTGCTGTATGCAAATCTCTGTTTTACAGCCTGCTTCCCAGGACCTCAACCTAAGGCAATACTAAACACAAAGTCCAAAAACAGATGCAAGTGTACATGGATAATAATTTTGTACATGATAAAGAAAGCTATTTCAAATCAGTAAGGAGAAGATGAACCACTCATCCAAGTGTTAGGTTGCACAGAAGACCATTCTAAAAAACCACAAGGTTAGATTCCTGCCCCACACTGTGCATCAAAACAAATTCCAGATAAATTAAAAGTTTAAATATCTATTCCACGCAAATGGCAAAGAAAAGAAAGTGGGGGTAGCAATACTTGTATCAGACAAAATAGACTTTAAATCAAAAACTGTAATAAGAGACAAAGACAGGCACTACATAATGATAAAGGGAACAATCCAACAAGAAAATATAACACTTGTAAATATCTACGCGCCCAACATAGGAGCACCTAAATATATAAAGCAATTATTAACAGACATAAGAGGAGAAATAGACAGTAACACAACAATAGCAGGGGACTTTAACACTCCACTTACACCAATGGATAGATCATCCAAACAGAAGATCAATAAGGAAACACTCGCCTTAAAGGACACATTAGACCAGATGGACTTAGTAGATATATACAGAACATCCCATCCAAAAACCACAGAATACACATTCTTTTCAAATGCCCATGGAACATTCTCCAGGATTGATCACATATTAGGCCACAAAACAAGTCTCAATAAATTTAAGAAGATCGAAATAATACCATGCCTCTTTTCTGACCACAAAGGTATGAAACTGGAAATCAACTACAGAAAGAAAACCAGAAAAGCCACAAAAATGTGGAGATTGAACAAAATGCTACTGAACAATGATTGGGTCAATGAAGAAATCAAAGAAGAAATTAAAAAATTCCTGGAGACAAATGAAAATGAAAACACGACATGCCAAAATCTGTGGGATACAGCAAAAGTGGTTCTACAAGGGAAGTTTATAGCAATTCAGGCCTACCTCCACAAAGAAGAAAAATCCCAAATAGACAATCTAAAAGTGCACCTAAAGGTACTGGAAAAAGAACAACAAACAAAGCTCAAAATCAGCAGAAGGAAGGAAATAATAAAAATCAGAGCAGAAATAAACGAAATAGAGACTAAAAAAAAATAGAAAAAATTAATGAAACCAAGAGCTGGTTATTCAAAAAGATAAACAAAATTGACAAACCCTCAGCTAGACTCACCAAGAAAAAAAGAGAGAAGGCTCAAAAAAATAAAATCAGAAATGAAAGAGGAGAGATTACAACGGACACCTCAGAAATACAAAAGATAATAAGAGAATACTATGAAAACATATACGCCAACGAATTGGATAATCTGGAAGAAATGGATAAATTCTTAGAAACATACAGCCTTCCAAAACTAGACCAAGAAGATGTAGAAAATTTGAATAGACCGATCACCAGTAAGGAGATCGAAACAGCAATTAAAAACCTCCCAAAAAATAAAAGTCCAGGACCAGATGGCCTCCCTGGTGAATTCTACCAAACATTTAAAGAAGACTTAATACCTATCCTTCTCAAACGCTTCCAAAAAATTGAAGAGGAGGGGAGGCTTCCTAACTCCTTCTACGAAGCAAACATTATCCTGACACCAAAACCAGACAAGGACAACACAAAAAAAGAAAATTACAGGCCAGTATCACTGATGAACATCGATGCAAAAATCATCAACAAAATACTAGCAAATCAAATACAACAATACATTAAAAAGATCATACATCATGATCAAGTGGGTTTCATTCCGGGGATGCAGGGATGGTTCAACATCCGCAAATCTATCAATGTGATACACCACATTAACAAAATGAAGAATAAAAATCACATGATCATCTCAATAGATGCAGAGAAAGCATTTGACAAGATACAGCATCCATTTATGATAAAAACTCTAAATAAATTGGGTATAGAAGGAAAATATCTCAACATAATAAAGGCCATATATGACAAACCCACAGCAAATATCATTCTCAATGGAGAAAAACTGAAAGCTATTCCTCTAGGAACAGGAACCAGACAAGCATGCCCACTGTCACCACTCTTATTTAACACAGTACTGGAAGTCCTAGCCAGAGCAATCAGGCAAGAAAAAGAAATAAAAGGGATCCACATTGGAAAAAAAGAAGTGAAACTGTCACTCTTTGCAGATGACATGATTTTATATCTAGAAAACCCTAAAGAGTCCACTAAAAAACTTTTAGAAATAATAAAGGAATACAGTCAAGTTGCGGGATACAAAATCAATGTACAAAAATCCATTGCGTTTCTATACACTAACAACGAAATAGCAGAAAGAGAAATTAAGAATACAATCCCATTTACAATTGCAACAAAAAGAATAAAATATCTAGGAATAAACTTAACCAAAGAGGTGAAAGATCTGTACACTGAAAACTATAAAACATTGTTGAAAGAAATCGAAGAAGACACAAAGAAATGGAAAGATATTCCGTGCTCTTGGATTGGAAGAATTAACATTGTTAAAATGTCCATACTTCCTAAAGCAATCTATAGATTCAACGCAATCCCTATCAAAGTTCCAACAACACTTTTTACAGAAATAGAACAAAGAATCCTAAAATTTATATGGAACAACAAAAGACCCCGAATAGCCAAAGGATTCCTGAGAAAAAAGAACAAAGCTGGAGGTATCACACTCCCCAATTTCAAATTATACTACAAAGCCATAGTAACCAAAACAGCATGGTACTGGCACAAAAACAGACACACAGATCAATGGAACAAAATTGAGAGCCCAGAAGTAAACCCACACATTTATGGACAGCTAATATTCGACAAGGGAGCCAAGAGCATATGATGGAGAAAGTAGAGTCTCTTCAATAAATGGTGTTGGGAAAACTGGACAGCCACATGCAAAAGAATGAAAGCAGACCATTCCCTTACACCATGCACAAAAATCAACTCCAAATGGATTAAAGACTTGAATGTAAGACCCGAAACCATGAGACTTCTAGAAGAAAACATAGGCAGTACGCTCTATGACATTGGTCTGAGCAGCATATTTTCAAGTCCCACGTCTGGCCAGGCAAGGGAAACAAAAGAAAAAATGAACAAATGGGACTACATCAAACTAAAAAGTTTCTGCACAGCAAAGGAAACCATCAACAAAACGAAAAGACAACCTAACAATTGGGAGAAGATATTTGCAAACCACATATCAGATAAGGGGTTAATATCCAATATATACAAAGAACTCATACAGCTCAACAACAAAAAAAACAACAATCCAATTAGAAAATGGGCAAAAGATCTGAACAGAGAGTTCTCCAAAGAAGATATACAGATGGCCAACAGGCATATGAAAAGATGCTCAACATCATTAGCTATCAGGGAAATGCAAATCAAAACTACAATGAGGTATCACCTCACTCCGGTCAGAATGGCTATAATTAACAAGACAGGAAACAACAAATGTTGGAGAAGGTGTGGAGAGAAGGGAACCCTTGTTCACTGCTGGTGGCAGTGCAAACTGGTGCAGCCACTATGGAAAGCAGTTTGGAGTATCCTCAGAAAATTAAGGATAGATCTACCATATGATCCAGCTATTCCACTGCTGGGTATTTATCCAAAGAACTTGAAAACACAAAGGCATAAAGATACTTGCACCCCTATATTCATTGCGGCATTATACACAATAGCCAAGATTTGGAAGCAACCTAGGTGCCCATCAAGGGACGAATGGATAAAGAAGATGTGTTATTTATACACGATGGACTACTACTCAGCCATAAGAAATGAAGAAATCCTGCCATTTGTGACACCATGGATGGACCTTGAGGGTATTATGCTGAATGAAATAAGTCAGAGGGAGAAAGTCAAACACCATATGATCTCACTCATAAGTAGAAGATAAAAACGACAAACAAAAAAAAAACACATAGCATTGGAGATTGGACTGGTGGTTACCACTGGGGGAGGGGGGAGGGCAAAAGGGGTGATTAGGGTCACATGTGAGGGGATGCACTATAATTAGTGTTCGGGTGGTGAACATGATGTAATGTATCCAGAATTTGAAATATGATGTACATCCGAAAAAAATAAAAATTAAAAAAATATATATATATTCACAATAAAAAAAATTTAAATATCTAAAATATAACTATAATGACAAAAGAATGAAAATTGTTATATATATGAATAAATGAAAAACCATGAATTTAAAAAATTGATAGATACAATATTTCTGTACAGAAAAAAATACATATACATCATACACAAAGCTAAAAGGCAAACAAAAAGCTGGAGAAAATGTTTTATCCATATAGCATAGTATTAACATCATGCATATAATAAACAAGCTCTTACCAAAGTTCAATAGAAATATAGACAAAGGGCATGAATGAGCAATTATTTTTAAAAGTGAAAATGCATTTTCAATATAGAGCATTGAATTAAATGTATATATAGACATATATATAGGAATGAACAAAATACATTGCTAGTGGGAATTTCAATTAGTATAACCTATCTAGAAAGCATTTTGGCAACATGTACCAAAATCATTAAAGCATATACTCTGTTAAACTAAACAGTTTCACACGAATAAATTTATAGTTCAAAAAACATAAGGATGTGTGAGAAGATTTAGCTTCAAGGATGCTTATTGCAGCTTTAGAATATTTAAAAAGTTGAAAACAGCCAAAATTTTCATAGAAGATGGACTAAATAAACAATGGTAGATTGTATATATAGCCATAAAAATGATGCTGTGGAAGAAAAGATGACATAGGAAGAGTGTTGTAAACATTCTTAAAAGACAAAAGGCATTTATAAAACAAATGTGTCATGTGATCCCATTTCTGTAAAAGTAAATGTGTACGTGGTTATAGAAAGTACTCAATAAGCAGTATGTTAGTAAGAAAACACTGAACCTTGGCAGCTACTTATTCGTCTCTCTGTCCTCTATCTTTATTTCCTTATTAATCAATCAGTCTAACTCACTGATCTGGAAGTTGCACTCCTCCTTTCACTCAACGAGAAATGACCGGGAGCACTGCTAAGAGCTGGTACTGAGTCAGGCTTGAGATCCCCACGGAGACCAAGGCAGCCACGGCCCTGGCCTCAGGTGACGTGCTGTCTAGCAACATCAGCATGCTAAGAAGGGGTAACACAGGGAAAGTGTGCTTAACTGAAGAACCTCATACCAAGTCAAGGAGGATGGTCACATCGCGGCCTGGCCCTGGAGAATGCTTAGGGATGTGTCAAGTGAAGGCAGGGATGGAAAAGGAGAAGCCAAAACAAGTTACTGACATCACTGCCTTCCTCCCTCTCCTCCTGGGTAAGCCCACCATTCCCCTACGCCTACCCAGAGAAAGGGCATTCAATTAAATAAAGACACAGAGGGAAAAGACATCATTTGACAAATGACATATAAAAGTAATGGTGCCCCCTTGCTTTAATCCCTGTAAACACACCAAATCTAGTTTTCACATTATCGAAACCATGTAATCATAATAATAGTTCCCATAAAATCAGTTAAAGCCCCCCAAAATTAATAATGATTCTTTTTCCATATTTCTTTCCAAGAAAAGATATGCATTGGAGCCAGCCCAGTGGCATAGCAGTTAAGTTTGTGCACTTCACTTCAGCGGCCCGGGGTTCACTGGTTCAGATCCCAGGCACAGACCTACCCACCACCTATCAAGCCACACTGTGGCTGGCGTCTGTCCCACATATAAAATAGAGGAAGATGGGCATAGATGTTAGCTCAAGGCCAATCTTCCTCAGCAAAAAGAGGAGGTTTGGCAATGGATGTTAGCTTAGGGCTAATCTCCCTCAAAAAAGAAAAAAATGAAAATTTTAAAAAACAAAAAAAGGATATGCATTTTCTTTAAGAAAATGAGACAAAATTTAATATATTAAATTACACCTTAGATTTAGAATCAGCATTTAATACAAATAAAATTTTTAAAAAGTTTTAAAAAATCACAATTGAAAAATCTAACAACTTACCTCGGGGTAAAGATTGAACCTTTTTAATGTATTAATAACAAGAGGGTATTCAGTCAGCTTATCATTCATAATCATCCACACTCCATTCAAAAACGAGGGTGCCTCCACAATAGTCTTGAAGTAGGAATAATATAGTCCCTGAAATAAGCATATGTTAAAGTTATAATAAAAAGTACATAATTACTATTACTATGCCTCGTATTAGCTTAAAAAAATAACAAATACATTGCTTTTGAAAAACAAAGCAATCAAGCAAGTAATATCTACAATTAATTTCACTGGGTTTTGATCACTGATAAATTCTTAGAGTGCAAAAAACCTACATATTTTAGTATAACCTTGTCTTAATTTAAACAGTTGAGCTCAAAATAGCTTCAAAAATAGTTTCAACATTTAAAAAGTAATACAACTCAGATAGCATACTTCATTTAAGAAAACCTTATAACCCAAACTAATTTAAGTATTAGAAAGGGCTATCTTAGGAACAGGGTGAGCAAGTGGTTTATTATGGAACTTTAGCTTACCCTAAACCAAGAAATCTTCTCGAGCCAAAAATGTTCCCTACTAACTGCTTTTTGAATCCTCAAAATCATACTATCAGCCATTTTTCCTCCAGATTTATATGTAACAATGCAAATATATTAAGAAGGCTATATATTGATGCATTACATATAAATTACATTCAGATGTCAACTAATTTTTCAGATTATGTTCCTTCCCTTCAATTCAGCATAAGGTAAGAACCCTGGAGGACTGGGCTGTGGGGACGGAGGAGAGGGAGAGTGGTAGTACTCTCATTTTGAGGGAAATAAATAATTTTTTAGCTTGACATACTAATTAGGAAGGATATCAAGGTTGGAATAATACATAGGCTAAAGAAACAAGCAAGTACTAGAAGCCTTATGAGGGAGTATAAGTGGCAGTATAGAGCAAGACAGATGAACACAGGAAACAAACTCCATCCTCCATACAAGTCTGCCTAGAACTGTCCTGGTAGCCAGTACCATTAGCTGTCAACTCTAATATTCAATATTTTAAAAATATTTCCTATTGTACTTGGTTGAATAATATCCCCGAAAAGTTCAGGCCTACTAGAACCTGTGAATGTCACCTCATCTGCAATAGGTTCCTTGCAGATGTAATCAAATTAAAATGAGATCACAGGTGGACTCTAAATCCAATATAAGTGGCAATCTTTTTTTTTTTTTCCTGCTTTATCTCCCCAAACCCCCCCGTACATAGTTGTATATCTTAGTTGCAGGTCCTTCTAGTTGTGGGATGTGGGATGCCACCTCAACGTGGCCTGACGAGCAGTGCCATGTCTGCACCCAGGATCCGAACCGTGGGCCACTGCAGCGGAGCACGCAAACTTAACCACTTGGCCACGGAGGCGGTCCCCTGGTAATCTTATAATAAGATGGAAATTTAGACACAGAGACATAGGGGAAAATGCCATATGAAGATGAAGGCAGACACTGAAGTGACTGCATCTCCAACACAAGCCAAGGAACACCAAGGATTACAGGAAACCAGGAGAAGCTAGGAAGAGGCAAGGAAGCATTCTCCCCTAGAGCCTTCAGAGAGAAGGTGGCCATGCCCATGCCTTGATTTCAGACTTCTGGCCTCCACACTGAGAGACTAAATGTCTGCTCTTTTAAACCATGTAGTTTATTGTACTTTGTTACGGCAGCCCCAGGAAACTACTATAACCTACCCTGTTTTGTAGGTTTGATTTTGGAATCATGTAAATATCTTATTTAATTATAAAACAAAAATTTTCTTTTCTTCTTCTTCTCCCCAAAGCCCCCCCAGTATATAGTTGTATATTCTAGTTGTGAGTGCCTCTGGTTGTGCTATGTGGGACGCTGCCTCAGAATGACATGACGAGTGGTGACATGTCTGCACCCAGGATCCGAAACAGGGAAACCCTGGGCTGCTGAAGTGGAGCACTTGAACTTAACCACTTGGCCACAGGGCCGGCCCCTAAAATAGAAATTTTTAAATCCCTAAATATAAAAAGAAAAGTAAAAGAAAGGAATTAACTATTTATCAAGTTGGGAGAGGATTTCATATAACTTTAACATATAGTAATTTTACTGTACACCCTAGAGGAATATATCCTCAAGTCAAAAAGAACTGAAAGAAAGCTTTCTATTGTTTCCAGTAATCATTTTTCCATTTTCCTAATAATAGCTTTGGTACTTTTATGCCTCAAATATAAGTAATTTGAAACCAAAACTCTCAGGCTAACAGAAAAGATAAATTTAATATCAAATAAGTAAAACCATCTAATCCTAAATTTCAATTTAAAAATATAAATTAATGATTTATTTTCTCTTAAAATTGTTTCCTAATTCTATTTACTAAAAAAGCCTAGACATGATGGCCAATCTAGTATAAAATAGTAGCAATGAGCATCTCTCACACCAAAATTATGGTCTCTAAATACCATTTGCCACTGAAAGGAATGGGAACTCCTTGGAAAACTGGATGATTCCAGCTCTGGAGAGGAAATATCTTGCAGTACCAGAAGGTTAGGAAGCTACAGAACACTAGTGAGGTCATGTCAAGGGGGCACAGAGCCAACTAAAAGGGCTCTCACCAGCTAAAGATAGGTAAGTTTACAAAGCATGTTAAAGTCCATCAGATCATAATGATACTCCAAAAGAAGGGACTCCATTGGTCACCACTAGCTGAAAGATGCTAGGAACCAACCCATTTTTCTGAAAAGTGGCAAGTAAAAAGAAAGAATCAACCATTTTCCTGTCTTTCCTATATGAAGTGTACCCCAGAGAAACAAAACAGGTATTGTGGGAAATTTCTTCTTTATAGAGGAATTATGGTTAATAAATGCAGGGGAAAAAAATAATAGAATAGATAGATAATCACCATTTGGCAGTTCTAAAGAAATAGCTGACCTAAGCAGATGGCTAGGCCATAATGGAGGGATCAGCATGACAACAGCTAAAGCCATTGATCAATCTTAACATCACAGAAAGTGAGACCACCACAGACGTTGTGCCTGTTGATATAGTACAGTAAGTGCACAGCACCACTTATCAACTATACCTCCCAGAAAAAATCAAACCTTCAGCTACGAAGACGTTGATCTATCAATTTTCAGGAAACTTGAGACAATGGAACATAATAAACAACATGAATGACTGTAGGTAATTCTAGAGGACAAATGACCTGATTCTTCAACAAATAAATAACAAGAAAAAGAACAAAAATGAGAAGAGAAATTTATAGATTAAAAGACTTAAGAGACACATTAACTAAATGCAACGTATAGACATTGTTTGGATCCTGATTCAAACATACCAACACACAAACTGGAAAAAAAAAAGGCAATCAGGTCTATTTAAACTCTGATGGATATTTGACAATATCAAGCAACTGCTGTTCATTGTTTTCAAGCGTGACAATGGTACTGCGTTAAAAAAAAAATCCTTTCTTTTGAGATACATATGAAAGTATTCACAGATGAAATGAGATGATGTCTCGGGTTTCCTTTAAAAGATGGGTGTGCAGATGTGTAGATGAAAGAAAAACGGCTGTGTGGTCAGTTTTTGAAGCTGGGGGATGGGTAGAGAGTTGTCTACTCTTTCTCCTTTGGAATATCTATGAAAATTTCTGTGACAGAAAGCTTAAAATTTATAGATTACTAAAATACTACAATAAAATACCACATGAAAACTAACCATTTCAGTGCGAAAAGCCATCTCCCTTTCCAACGTCGAGAGGTGAGAAAAATGACGATCATTTTCAAAGAGGTGTGTAATATGGCTCCTGCAAAAGCAAAAGACAACAAAGCAGCAGCGCTGAAACTTAGACAAAGCATTATTTTTAAAAGAAACTCTCAAAGAGAAAGTAAAATTATCTACAAATTTGCAGATAATTTTATAATAAAACTCAAATACAATGGCATCCATATTTGTTTTTCCACTCAGCATGTCTTACATTTCTACTAAAATTTTTCTCTGTAAGAAAACACATTCAAATTAGATTTTTAAATCAGAATGGGGGCCAGCCTGGTGGCATAGTGGTTAAGTTCATGTACTCCACAGTGGGGGCCCAGGGTTCGCTGGTTTGGATCCCAGACACGGACCTACACATCACTCAATCAAGCCATGCTGTGGCAGCATCCTACATACAAAATGAAGGAGGACTGGCATAGATGTTAGCTCAGGGACAATCTTCCTCAATCAAAAAGAGAAAGATTGGCAGTGGATGTTAGCTCAGGGCCAATCTTCCTCATACACACACACACACACACACACACACACACACAAAAACCTATAAAATCAGAATGAACCAGAATAATGATATTTTAAGTCAAGTACAATAAAATTATAGATTAAACTATAAATGTCACTGGATTACCATTTCAGAAATGTCTGATTAATGAAATTCATATTTCTCTCTACCCAGAAGATTAAAAAAAATTAATCTTCCTCTCAACACAAACACTATATTAATGTTAAGAAAAGGAGAGTCTCAAATATAACCTCTTTAATAATAGATCTCTTTTTTTATTAAAAAATTATATTATTCTGACCCTGATTTATCAATTAAACTATTTTTGCAGACTACTGTGTCGCATGTGATAATATACATTCATCCTTAACATACTGAAATTATTCCCTTATATATATGGGAATTAGCTTTGGTAAGTTATAAACATCCTCATAAAATACACCATAGGAGAAAAACAGTCTTACCAGTGCAACACTGCTGCGAAGGCGGCTGGAAGAAAAGAACAAATTTAAATTACTATGTCAGCATACAGAAACGCTTCCACCTTACAGAAAAGCATTCCAAAGATAAGCACCAGCACCGTGAAGTTTGGGATGTGTAAATGTTGGACTCTTAGGGATTAGGGAAAGAATACTGACTCTCTGAAAGAAGCCCCAGGTGTGCTTAAAATACCAATAGACTCGACTCTAAAGGAATTAGGCATATACTTACAATTTTCATTCACTCACTCATTCAACAAAATATATGAAGGACAATTATTTGCCAAAAAATACACAAGGTACTCTCAGATGGAAACTTCCATAAACAGAAGTGCCAGAGGAATAGAACCAACGGTGGGAGGGAACTTAGAATAAAGAAACATGGTAACCTCAGGGAACAGGACTGGGGATGAATAAAAAGAGGAACTGCCACATTTTATACAGCGCTTCAATATCTGAACTTTCATAACAAATTTGACTATTTTTTAAACAAATTTAATATGAAACAAGTAAAGAAAGAAGGAAGAGACGGAGGGGGAAAGAAAGAAAAGGTAAGAGAGAGCAAACAAGTTAATAATAAAATCAGTCTCATGAGAATCAATACTTTGCTTTCTGTCCAAGTACAAAGAACATATTAAGATGAATCCAGAAAATGCCATTCAGTTTTCCTATATCACAAGATTCCTCTTATCGCAGGCTTGATTAAATAATCACTATCTAAGGAAATGAACTATGAAAATACTGTTAGAAATAAAAACCTGCCAGCTCAGATCTTGTTGCCTTATTCTTAAAGAAGTATTTATATTTTAAAAACTTAAAAAATACATTTTGTCTAGGAGATATTAATGGTTATAAAAGACAGAGAGTTACTTTCTAGATCATTGAAACTGCAAATATTTAACTAGGTTTGTCATTTGACGTTTGTTTGTATATGGTACTTTGATCTGAAATTTTATTTTTTTCTTATTGACAAATCTACCACCCACTTCCTTTTTGGTTTCTGCCTTTAAAGACTTCATCTACCATAATAAAATTTGGGTTTTATTTTCTCAGTGATCTAACTATCATGTTCTGAGAAATCATTCTTCTCTCACTGAATGTAAAATGCTACCTTTATCATACTGAAGACTTGTCACAATTTATACTTTGGTAATACCTTTGAGATTATAATTGGGATTTCATTTCTAAATTAACTTGGGAAGAATGTACATGTTGACAATATAAACCTGTATATTCATGTTCATAAACATGGTATATGGACCATGTTCAATTATTCAACTTAGTTTTCAATTGCCCTTGAGAAAAATCCTATTAGTAAATACATAATTTATAGTTAATTCATATTTCTTATTAAGTCTTTCTTGGGAGTTTAAGATTTTTTTCCTGCTAATACCCATGAAGTCTTTTTTCATTATATTTTACTGGATATTGTTAAGGTATTTATTTTTGAAGTGTATTTATTTTGTAATATATTTATTTTTGGCTCATTTATTAAACTATTAATTCTTAATAGTTTTTTGGTTTACCATCTTCGATTCTCACATTAAATAATATTATTTAAAAATGATAATTTTGTTCCTCTTTTATAATTTTACTCTTAGTTTCTTCTTTTGACAATAATAATAAACTTCTAGAATACCGCTAAATAATTCTGATAAAAGAGGGCATCCTGGCTTCGGCTGATTTTAACAGCAATGCCTTTCACATTATGCCTTTAAATGAGACTTTGACCCTCACAATTCTGGAGGGATAAATAGGATTTCCCAAGGTCATCATCCCTCTGCTTCCTCAGAATACCACAATTTCTCAGGAGAAGGACAGAAGGTACAAAGCGGCCTTTGGTGCCTTCCTTTGATTCCTTTAATTCAATCCTTGCAGTACGCGTGTAGACAATTCTTGGGAGTTCTTGGCATTTGGATGGCACTCTTTCATAGTCTCCGGAGTTAATTCCTAATCTGCTCAATGTTTTGGATTCCTTTATTTGTTTCAATTTAGTAATAATAAAAGCCACTAACATTTGAATTTTTATTACATGCCAGGCACTTTTTAAGTGGTTTACTTGAACTAACTTAATAAATTCTTACAACTATCCTATGTGGTGTGTACAAATACTTCCCCAGGCTACAGATGAGAAATTGAGGCCCAGAGAACTTTAGTAACTTGCCCAAGGAAACAAAGTGGGTAAACAGAGAAAAGGAGGTTGGAGGCAGGACTTCTGGCCTGAGAGCCATGCACTGCACGGTCTCCTGCGGAGGATGGAGGGGGTGAGACCAAGGCTGAGGCCTCCTTACCCTAAAGGATCACTCCTCTTCCCTTTTTTAGTATTTTAAATATAAAAGGGGAAAAAAGCGGCAATTCATCTGTTGATAGTATGTTTTATAGAAACTATTAATTTTATATAAAAATGTAGAGCTATGCTTTATTCAAAATTGAAATAAATTATACATATATGTCATTTGAAAATGAAAGCCCCAGTGAAGCAGATACTGCCTTGTGAGCATATAACTTAAGCATAAAGACATAAAATGACAAAACTTCTAAAGGCACCCCCAAAGAGCTTTTCTTGCCTCTCGCCTACAGAAAAGATTATATATGATTTTCTCTAAATTTATTCCAGTGATGTCAACCCTGTCTATAGTCTTTTGGGAGTGCCACAAAATTGATAATCCCTTTTTTCCATTTAACACATATGCTATTTTTTGTCATTCTAAGATACTGAGGTAAATACAGCATGTTTTTTTAAAAATAAGAACATAAAAAAAACTTTCAAAAAATCCAAACCTATTCCGTAAGAAAAAAGTATTCAAGGAAAGGCTTGCTTTGTAATCTAATTCAAAAGATTCCAATCCAATGGCTGAGAATTTTGAATGGTTCTTATGTTTAGCTGGAAGCATATAAATTACCAACACTCTGCAACTAAATTGGACACTCCTTCCACTTTCTGATTAAGGAAATTTTGTACTAGATTATATGTTTCATTGTATCAATTTTCTGTCCTACAGGATTTGAGCCAGCCACTTCACTGAAAATTATTCTATTATTAGAATCTTGTTTAAACAAAACAGAACTAACTCCCCGAGGGTAGAAACAATGTTTTACTCAACTTTACTCTAGTACTTAGCAGGAGGCAAGGACATAGCCCAACTCAAATGTCTGCTGAATTAAAGTGTACAATTTGATATAGTTAAGGGGGGAAAGGAAATGATCCTAAATCATGTCCACATAATAAGCCTAAGTTGAATATACTTTAATGGATAGATGCACAAACACACTCATCTGCAGGTAACAGTTTTTGGTTTTGCTTTTATTTTCGCAAAAATGGAGTTCCCTTTGATTTAGTGCAAATTAGACCCCTGTCTACATGCAGCCGGCTGCCCAAGCCTCCAGTTCTTGGCCTCAAAGCCCAGCACAGCCAGGGAACTGGGGTAGAGGACAGGGAGCGAGCCAGGGGCTCCCCTGAGTGAGGTTCCCATGCTCCCTCTGACACTCGCTCCTTCTAGCCACAATTCCCAAAGCCAGTCTCATCTACCGTTCTTCCCCTCCCTCCAGATCGCCCCACCCGGGCAAGTCCAGTGTCCTCGGAAGGTGGGGAGCAGACACCCCCTGCCCCCACCCTCCTGCCTGGCCCACAGCAGTCAGCAGCAGTAAGGAGGGCGGAAGGAACGGAGAAAGAAATGGGAGTTTGCGTTCTGCGAAATCCTCAAGGGCTCCCAAACCAATTCCCTGTGGGCCCAGCCCCAAGCTCCCTGACGCCTCTCGCCTCCTCTCCCAGCCTCCTCCTGGAAGCCACCCCACACTAGCAGGTGACTCAGAAGTCCTGGGTCCCTCCCCAGACACACCCGCCCCCCTCCCCAGGATTGCTGGGAAGTAGGGCCCTGCAATCTGCATTTTTAAAGAGTTCACAGCTGAGTCTCCTGCAAACTAAAGTTCGAGACCCCCTGTCCTTCTTTCTCTCTTCCTCCTCCTCAAGCTGTAAGAGCAAAAGCTATGAAGCCAGCATGGGCTGCCTTGCCTTAGCCCCTCCATGGTAACCTGCAGGGGGCTCTCCTGCAACTGCAGCCGCGACATGTATCTCTGACCACGAATACATTTTCCCATCACGTTACATGTTCTTCCTTACACGTGTACTTTATCACCAGCGTTTGACTTAAAATTCAGAGAGCACCTTCGTAAACTCTCTCATTTGATTCTCACAACCAAGCTTCCAAGTATTTATTCCCATTTTACAAATGCTGGGCTTCCAAGCGGTACACAGCTGGCAAATGGCAAGAACTACCTGAACCCAAGGGTTCTGATTCCAAACCTCAGTTTCTTTCCTCCATGACAGAGCTGCCTCCTTTCCCACTTGTGGGCATTTGGTGGCCTCATCTTGTAACATATTTATACGAGAAATATATTTTAAGTCCAAAATGACTTGCAAAATTTAAAAATGCAACTTATTCCTAAATTGAGGTTAATCCATACTTAAAGCATTCTAAAGAGTTTTAGCCTCCCTAACCCTCAAGTGACAAAATGACATAAAAAAGAGGTTAAGGATGCTCCATAAATCTTTTGGACAAGGTTTCCAAATAAACCTTGACAAGTTCTATCTCGACCCCTTCCTAATATTACTAACCATTTCTTATTGTTCTCAAGGGTCCCATCAGAGTTTAAGTTTGTTTCCAGAAGCTGAAGTGACCAGTAGATAATGTCCCCGTTCCACATCAACAATTCATCCTGGAGAACACAGTCAATTTCCAAATGTACAGATCTAAGCATCTCCTCCTCTGTTTGAAAAGTCCCATGACTTCCCACAGCTCACACCACGGAGCCCACACTCTATTTCCAGCTAATCCCCACCACACACCCTTCATGCTGGCTGCACTGGGCGACCATCCCCTAAGGTACCAAGTGCTTTAACGATGGCATGCCTTTGCTCCTGCCTGAAAACTCCTAACTCGTCCTTCAGAGTCAAAGGAATTCAAATGTGGCATTTTGTGAAGCCCGTCCTGCCACCTTAGCTATAACACT